AAAGGAAAAATTGAAATCGCATCATATGACCCCTTTAACATACCTGTACATAAAACTCACTGTTTAGCCTTCCTTTCAACTATATACCTGATATATATAACCTGATATATATATATATAAAACATTTAAATTATGCTGTTTAGGAGTGATTTCAACCTGATCTGGGCCTTAATGGCGGTCATTAATGTGACCGTGTTTTGCAGTCATAAGTGAAAATAGGTCATGTAGATAGACCTCATGAAGGACAGGTTACCTGGCACAATATATTTACAGTTTTCCCTGTAACATTAGACAATATGTTTATGATATTATTAATAATCAATGTTTAAAATTCCACCTATAGTCATTTTTAAGTAAATTGAGATATATATATATATATATATTTAATAAATTAACTTTCATTTTATAGACTTACTCCTGTATTTTTAATTTCTATTTCAGTGTTGAAGTCAATTTCTTTTCAACAGTTTTGCCCAACTCATCCAAAACCAGAGCAGGCACAGGGAGTCATTAATGAGTCTGATTCACAACCTGATTCAGACTCCGTGACCTGCAGTATCTCCAGCAGTGATCAAACCCACAAGCCCTTCAGAAGTCCCTCGTGTGGCGTGTTTACATCCTTTCAGCGTTTGATTCAACAGATCAAACCATTCCTGATGGAGTGGGCAGAGCAAACACTCACTGTGGCACTAATTACTGACAGAGGACGATCTGAATAGATTTTGCTCATGTTTGCATATATTTTTATATTATAAAACAGTTTCAAAAAGGATTTTTCAAGAGGATTGGATTTGATTTCACTAGTAGTTTTGCTCTTGTAGAAGGTATCTTTTAGCGAACCTAAAAGAAGATAGTTTGAAGAATGTTGGTAACCAAACAGTTGATGGTCTCCATTGACGTCCATAGGATTTTTTTCCGTACTATGGAGGTCAAGTGGGGACCAGCAGTTGTTTGGTTACCCATATTGTTCAAAATCTCTTCCTTTGTGTTCAACAGAAGAAAGAAACTCATAAAGGTTTGAAACAGCTTGATGGCAAGTAAATGATGACAGAATATTCATTTTTGGGGTGAACGATCCCTTTAACCAGACATAAAAATCACTGTCTGCTGGTAGCAAAATGGCCACTCAAGTAAATTAACAATGAATTGGTTTGAAGGTAGCCTACAGGTATGGAGTAGAAAAATAAATTAAAAGAAAAATGTCATGGCCTACAATCATCTTCATGCTAAAAGTTCTCGATGACAACAGAGAAAATTGGGACAATTATAACTGAGAACTCCTTGAACAATTAAAATGAGATCAGAGGAAAACGACACACACACACACACACACACACGTTGTGTTTCCATGTTTTAGGTACACACACACACACACACACTCACACACACACTCACACACATTATTTTGGACTCCATATCAATTGGAAAACGGTATAGAAAATTGGTGCTTGCAAATGAACTAGTAAAATACATTTATCACAATACAGTAGACTTACTATTTAAAAGAACTGCAAGAACTGCTGACAAACTTACAGACTTCAACAGTGGAGTCATTCAGGTTCCTGGGCACCACTGTCTCTCAGGACCTGAAGTGGGACACTCACATAGACTCCATTGCAAAAAAGGCCCAGCAGAGGTTGTACTTCCTTCGCCAGCTGAGGAAATTCAACCTGCCACAGGAGCTGCTAAAACAGTTCTACTTTGCCATCATTGAGTCTGTCCTGCGTTCATCCATAACTGTCTGGTTCAGCTCAGCTACCAAATCTGACCTCAAGAGATTACAGCGGGCAGTCAGGACTGCCGAGAGGATTATCGGTGCCCCTCTGCCCAACCTCCAAGATCTTTACACCTCCAAAGTGATAATAAGGGCTAAGAAAATCACTTTGGACCCCTCACACCCAGCCCACTCTCTCTTTGAGGTGTTGCCTTCTGCTCGCCGCTGGAGAGCACCGACCACCAGAACAGCCGGGCACAAGAACAGGCTATATTCAGCCTAAAACTTTCATAACCTACATTGTCCATCATTACTGACACATTTATACATAGCAACTGAAAATTGTACATTTGTAAATGACATATACTTGTAACATATCTGTACATTCATTAAGACAATTACATATGTTTTCTCTATATATTTATATTATATTGCATTCTTTTTTTTGTTTTTGTTTTTCTTACATAAGTGTTATATTTAATCTCTACTGTGTAATTCCTATATGTCTGCACTATCTGTACTTTCTTCTGCACTGGAAGCTCCTGCCGCCAAGACAAACTTCTTGTGTGTGTAAACATAACTTGGCAATAAAGCTGTAAAATGTGAGTAGACATTATACACCACGGTTCACTATCATCAGCAACCAGCATCACCCGCAGTTACCAATAAAAACAAGAGCAGTCACATCCGACTCAAACCGTTCATCCTCAACAGAAGAGACTATTCAGATATATTATTTTCTGACGTGGCCTATAATGAATATCAATAGCAAATATGGCAACAAATAACTATTCCCCCGCGTGTTTAAGCGTGTGGTCTGTCTGAGATAGAACTACATTATCCGGGAACCAGCGCGCGCAGCCAATGGGCGTCAAGAACACGAGGTGACGAGGTACTTCCATCCTTTTATGCGCGAACTTGATCTGCGCCGAAGCGAGAAAACGGCGCGAGGCGAGCTTTTGCCATCAAACCTGGATCTTTTTGTGTGAAGGTAGGTGTGCCTGCGTTGTTATGGTAAAGTTTTTTGTTAATCTGTGCGACTTTTCTGTATGCCTAGGATTATTGGAGTGTAGTAGGTTTATATATTTCTGTGACATGCATGTCATATATTAAGTGATAATGGAGGCTTGCGTGCTTCTAGTGTACACAGTGCGATGTTTAAGTCTTAATTTATGTCACGTGTAAGTAAGTAACATCTCGTTAGTAATATTATAATCTGATAAATATCGAAAAGTCACGAAATCGGACCTATAATACGGTAAGATGCCTCATGCATTTGAATGCCATGGTCTTGATATACTTTTTGCCACTATGATTGTTGCATTCATAATGCATTGTGCTGCACGGATGCCGTGTTTATGTGCCCTTAATATGCATCTGCATTAAATCAGACCGTTGCAAGTTTGAGTGCAGCGCGAACGGTTAGATTGCATAATGTTTCTGTAGCGTGCATGAGTTATGGAGATGCAGTAAGAGCAGGGCGAAGCTGAGCGCGCGGTGTCTTTGTTTGGATCTGTTCTCTCTTGACTGTAATAAAAGCGCCTTTTGTCTCGCCACAAAATGCACGTAAATATCGTGGCTCATTCTACAGTAGCAACACGTAAAAATTGCATACTTAGTATAACAACAGAGTATAGAACTTTTTTCCCCTCCCCAAGTCTGTGGTTTCACACGTGCAGGTGGAGCTTTCTGTGACATGCATGTCATATATTAAGTGATAATGGAGGCTTGCGTGCTTCTAGTGTACACAGTGCGATGTTTAAGTCTTAATTTATGTCACATGTAAGTAAGTAACATCTCGTTAGTAATATTATAATCTGATAAATATCGAAAAGTCACGAAATCGGACCTATAATACGGTAAGATGCCTCATGCATTTGAATGCCATGGTCTTGATATACTTTTTGCCACTATGATTGTTGCATTCATAATGCATTGTGCTGCACGGATGCCGTGTTTATGTGCCCTTAATATGCATCTGCATTAAATCAGACCGTTGCAAGTTTGAGTGCAGCGCGAACGGTTAGATTGCATAATGTTTCTGTAGCGTGCATGAGTTATGGAGATGCAGTAAGAGCAGGGCGAAGCTGAGCGCGCGGTGTCTTTGTTTGGATCTGTTCTCTCTTGACTGTAATAAAAGCGCCTTTTGTCTCGCCACAAAATGCACGTAAATATCGTGGCTCATTCTACAGTAGCATCACGTAAAAATTGCATACTTAGTATAACAACAGAGTATAGAACTTTTTTCCCCTCCTCCCCAAGTCTGTGGTTTTCACACGTGCAGGTGGAGCGTTTAGGGGAGGGGGTCACGTGTGTGTTTGTGAAGAATACGCGCCAGTTTTTTTCCCCGCGAAACGGTAGCAAACATTTGCGGCGTTTAGGGGAGGGGGTCACGTGTGTGTTTGTGAAGAATACGCGCCAGTTTTTTTTCCCCCGCGAAACGGTAGCAAACATTTGCGCGCTAAATTCACAAAATGTCATCTCAAATTTTTTTTTTAATTGGTTTGCTGTAGTTTGGGTACCCAGTTTTGCGAAAAAAGTGACAAAACCTCCTGTTGGGCACATCAGGACCCTCGTCAATTGAAAAAAAGTTATTATTATTTTATTTTATTTTATTTTTGTAAATTCTTAAAAAAAAAAATAAAAAAATAAAAAAATAATA